TTCATTAGTTATTGAACTTATACCTCCGTCATGCTTTACTCGCTGAACTTTAAAATATTTTAGTGGTCATTGAATTTTATCATGTTGCACTCTATCACTTAGTTACCATATTTCATTAATCAATGAACTTTAAAATTACTTGAAACAGGTTACTAAAATTTACATGATGTACTCTATTACTCATTCACCATATTTTATTAGTTATTGAACTTGTACATCCATCACGTTTTATTTATTGAACTTTAAAAATACTTTCGAGTGATTACTGAATTTCGTAATATTTTCGAATAAAGTTGATTTTCTATGACATTCGATCTAGATCAAGAAAATAAAATAAAATAAATATTGACTAGATAATGAAACTCTCAATTTAAGAAGAGAATATTAATATTGGTCAAGAAGATATAATTTCTCTGGCGGTCGAAAACTATTTAAATAGAAAAAATAAAATAGAGAAGTTATTTCTTTATTTCAATTAAGATCTTAGACCCAAATTTTAAAAAAAATTATATCTCAAATAGATAGGGAAATTTTCGATTTAGAGTAAATAATATTAATCAAGATTAATAAATATAATTTTTGGTAATTCAAGAGAAAAGAAAGACTTCGTCTTCGTTTATGATATTTTATATTTTTTTCAATTTTTAAATAGTTGAATTTAGCTTGTAAAGTTTAATGATCAATTGAGAACATTTTAAAATTCAAAATTCAATGAGCCTATGTTTGGCACCCATTCTCATCTCATTCTCATTTTTTTCTCTTTATTCATTTCAACCACACGTTCTCTCAATAAAATAATATTACACACAAATTTAAAATTTTTCATAACTTTTTCACCACATATTCTTCTATCAATCACTATTTCAAATATTCATTTCTCCAAAAAAATGGGTGTCAAACACCTACTCAGTAAGTTCACATGATAAGTGATCATTTTGAAACATTTTACAGCCTAGTGACTAATGAGTCGCGTTTGGTACACATTCTTTCAAAATACATTATTTTAAAACTCATTTTGAACAATACATTTTTCAATGAAATAATATTTTCCATCATGATGTTTACTTTTTATCCATATTTTCCATCATATCGTTATTTAAAATATATTTTTTTATCAATAATATCCATCAAACATACCGTCAAGAAACATTTTACTCTAAGACATAGTTTAGTGTAAGGTGGGATAGTTGGATATCAAGAAAAAAAAAAAAAAAAAAAAAAAGCCATTTTAATTTA